GATGTACAGCACATAGATAACACATGGCCACTGGGCTCGTGTGAAGTTATGGAACCACATCTATGTCTCTGCTGACAGGGAGAGAGAACAGGACTGATGGAGATGATTATATTTGGTTTCTCAGATGCCTGTGTCATCTTGTAAAACTAGGACAGTTCTTTTCATATTCTCTTTTTTCCCTTCAGAGTTGTTTACACTAATACGGGTCTCTAGAGAATAAATAATAAGCGAAAGGAAAAAAAAAAAAAACGAATCGTAGGCCAGAAATGCTTCTGATGCCATCAGTAAAGTCTGGGGTTGGTATAGAGCTGATTCTGTACGATTCTGGTCTGTGATTGAACCGTTTGCTGTAAACGTCTCCTAATCCTTCCTACACGCTCTACACTCCGTGAAACGACATCGGTGAAGGTCACCCAGTTTCATTCTTGTCTTAATCTCCTCTTTCGATTCATTATTATTGATTGGTGCTGATGTTACATTGTAGCTACTCGTTAGAATAAAAATAATGTTATTCTTAGAGAAAGGGATCCGCTTAAAAGCTAATTTTCTACGTCTCTTGTTTTCCTCTCAGACATCCTCCTTAATTTAATCTCTTAGTTTGTGTTAACTGCATGTGACGATGGATGATTGCTGTTGCATTGTTACTCAAGAGGCCAAGAAATGCTAAATTTCATCATTCTGTTGTTCACCTTTGCGACACTTTACATAGTGCAACGGATTGCAGACTCCTGGCTGCACTTTCACTATATTACATCAACACACATTTTTATTAAATAACAATAATGGCTTTAAATCACATTGAGGCTTTTTCATTATCTATGTGTATATATGAAATCATTTAATATTGCAGTTATCTTTTGTCTCCCGTTTTCCTTTAAAGCACAGCTACTCTGCAGGGAAGATGGTATGATAATCTAATATTACTTTCTGGATATACTGTCTACATAAAGTTTCTCTCAAAGATAATTGGTAATGGTTTAATTTTAGATTTTTTTGAAGAAAAAGCCCATTATTCTGAGTTGTATTGAGGCAAACGCAACTATTAACAGCATCTACTTATCAATTATTTTAAAACGTAGGATGACAAACATGTCAGTGTGAGTAGTGGCAGTGTTAAAATAAAAATTTAATCAGGATGGAACAGTGGCATTAATATTCTCGCTTTGACATTGCAGCCTAACAATTGTACTACATGGACAGTATAAACATTTACTGAATTTGTTGGTAGAATCTTTAGAGTCCTCGTGAGCGACAGCAAATAAGATGCAGAAGGTCTTCAGAGGTTTTATGATTCAAATGTGAAAACAGATGTTCATAAAATACCATATCATCAAAAATAACCTCCTGCTCCACTAATAAATATATTTTTAGAGAATACCTGACCAAAATAAAGCACAACCTTGTAGATATGCACCAAAACATCTGCTGGTCATGAAATTGGCCATTATTCAGTATGATCGACTTAAAGGTGGAATATGGAACACCATAGCGACATCTTGTGTGTGAAGGTTGTAGCATCAACAACAGAACAAGGTTTCCAGCTGTCGGAATGCCAGGTTTGTAGGTTTCACCTAAACTCTCTCTGGTTTTAGATATTTTATGGGCGCTCCTCTTCTCATTTTCCACAGTGCCAGCCTTGCTGTACAGGGCAGACTGTTTGCCAACCGGCAATGGTGCTCTCTACTGGCTGGTAGATGTAAACATAAACCCAGTGTCGTACCCATCAAAATAAACATTGGATTATTTTTTTTTATTAAAATTTAGCTTTTAAAGGAAATACTGCACATTTAATCTGCACACCTCTAAATCCTTCATGGAGGTATTTAAAAAAAAGAAAAGAAATATTTATATATTTAATTTAATTTTCTTTTTTATTTATTTTTATTTTTTTTATAAATTGTTCCATATTCAACCTTTAACATATGATCTACCCATCTGAAAATAGAAAACCTGTTTCTGTATCTGGCCTGTAAACATACAACGCAAAGCAGCCATCATATTTTTAAAGTTCAGACATTTTTCCCTGTCTGTGGACTCATATTGCTAAATGCTAATTTATGTTAGCAATAAAAAATCTTCCATATTGATGTTCACACTTCCAGAAGTATCTGAAATATAATGTTTTCTATACATTTTGGGTGTATTAGAATTGGTTAAAAAACCTGGGGCAGGTCAGAGTTAGAAAACGGTATCTTACCTCTAAATTAGAATCAGTGCAGCACTAGACCAGGTTTCACAAAGAAAATAAATAAGACTCTTCAGTTGGAAATCTACTAATATTTTTAAGTTGCTAAGGGGTAACCCTAATTAATTTAAAAAGGTTCTCTTTTTTTTTTCTTAACCATGTCTAAAGACGTGTTGTGGTCATAGAAAGAAATGTGGCCATTTCACATGAACTACACGATTGGACAAGTGGGAGCTGGGTTGGGTTTGGAGCCGTTGAATGCATTTTAACACTTGAATGAAAACACAGATCACCTAAATGTTTGCTCAGGTCTAATCCGAAAATCAATAGTAAAACTCATTGCTGAGTTTAATGGTGAAAATCAGAAAAGTTACACAATCCAAAGACTAATTCTAAGTAAACATTTCCAATCAAACGTAAGACTGTGGAGTATCTGAATAGAGAAATCAAGACAACCAAATTAGAAAAAGAAGTAAATTAAATGCATCCATTATGTCTGGTGCCTTAAGCCTGTGGGAGGGCAGTATCGCCATCTGGGCCATTTTCGACGGGTCCATTCTTGGTTCAGCAATGTTATGTCTCTAAATCTGGTTAAGCTACCAATGCATGTACCAAATGACCAAGTGTGTCTATTGGGATTTTTTATTTTCACCGGCACAGATGCATAAAGAGACTAAGCTAAGATCTGATGTGCTTAAATGAGTAAAAGAAGCATTCAGAATTGAGTTTCATACATGAACTAAGGAGTCCAGTCCAGATCTCAATCTCTATTGGAAATCTTTGGGATGCACAAGAGAAGACTTCACACTGCAACTCTGATTCTATCAGAATTAATGAAAGCTTACAAATAAAAAATATACTATATGTAACAACTAACAAAAAAATGTGAGTTTATTATAATTAATCAAAATGTTTTAAAAAACTATTCATAATTTAGACGTGCATAAATGAGCAGGATTTTAGTTTAGTCTAATGTGAACGCATGTCATACACGGTTAAAACTAAAGCCAGTTTTAAAGTAAGTCTGGTTCAATGTGAAACTGAACTGCTCTGAGTGAGACAGAGTGACCACTTCTGTAAAGGCTGCTGCATTCATGCTACCTGAAAAATATCAATAACTACACTGAAAAAAATGATTTTTTCATCTTTTTTTTATTAGTGGCATTATAGAGAACACATTGGCTCTGTTTGTGTGCTTCTTTTAATCATTTGTCAGGCTTATTGATTCCTGTAAATCTTGCTTAGAATTATGGAGTTGTGCTTACAGTATAGTGTCATATCTCATGTGCTCTCCGCTCAAGGGCTGGAGCAACTTACCCCACCCCCAACCCACCAGCCACAGCCACCTACTTTATCGCTTCGTCTCGTGTCTCTCACACATCACCAACCACACACACACACACACACACACACACACACACACACACACACACACGCCAACGGCGCCTGGTGAATGACGCTGCGCTCAATGCCTCTTTTGACAGCTACTTCTCACACAGAAACACATTAAATGCAACCCCAGATGCAGTGACCCGGAGGTATGCATCGACAGGAGGCGCTCAGTGTCACCCCTGTAATTCTGCTCTCTCTCTCCTTCAAGTAGATCTTATCACTCACATCTCTAACTGCCGTTATCAATCTTCCCTGTGCAGCCACTGCATCATTAGGTGAGAGTATTTTACTAAGAACACTAACATAGGTTTCATTCCTCTCTTCTCCTCCCTTGCATTCCACCGCAGGTTGGCACGGTGCCAGGCTGTGCCATGCAGCGCAACACTGCCACCTAAAGGTTTAGTACCACCACACTCAAGCCTAACCCACTGACAATAGTGTCTTAGCCTCCCTCCCACCCTGCCCCACACACACACTCTCTCTCTCTCTCTTCTGCTTCTCCCTGTATTTGTCCACGTGTGTTCCATTAGATTAAAACTGTGTGTTGTGTAGCAATGCTTTATTAGCAGAAAAATTAATAAGGCTTTGATAAAAAGCAGCATGGATTACGTTGAAATTTGAGGCTCATTATTGGCTAATCCTTTTTGAATTGGATGTGTATCAAGTTCCAGACGGGCTTTACTCAGTTCGCTAGTGTGATTTGAGCGAGGCATTTAATTCAAGCTTAGATGATGAGGCAAAGCCTACAGTGACATTCACAACACCACTGTAGCAGACTAATTATTGACTGTTGTTGTGGCAGCAGGTGTTGAAAAGGTTACTAAATCCTCTGTGATTTACCAGAAACAGCAAAAATAAAACAAACAAACCAAAAACAAGCACACAAAACATGAACACGTTTTTATGACGAAAGGTGAAGAGTACTTTTTTTGTTTTTGTTTGCAGCACTTTTTTTTAAAGATGTTTACGGTTATCTGAGTAGATAGGTAAGAAAAAAATGTTTCTTTCACAATGAACATTGAGACACTTATTGTTTTTCGGTACATTTGTTCTAAACTGAGTGCTAAAGAGGAAAAAGTAAGGCAAGGCAATCACTCTCCCATTTGCATTTGGTAAATATGAATTCAATACTTTTATGATAAAACATGTTATTGATGATTATCATTCCCAAATTACACTTGATTGTTGAGTCAGTGATCGGCTCCATTAATAAGCAATAGTTCAAGGTACTTTTTTATTTTATTTTTGTTCTCAATTTTTCTTTGTAAAACAGTGAAATCTGTTGAAGCTGGAAGTCTCCAGTACTTTTTTCTGTTTCTTCAGACTAACTTTTAGTGAGTCTCTAATCTAGACTGGCACTTTAGCACTGTGGAACAGGGCAGTTATAGGCAGTACTTATAGACCAGTAAAAGTGCTCCTTTACCTGCTGTCTGGTGTGCATGGGTCCCTTGGTTTTGAACCCTCCCTGGGAGCTGCTCTCTGAGGCACTGAAGTGGTCGGAGCTTGTGGAGGATCTCTTGGAAAGGGTGTCACAGCCCCCGACAAATGTGTTATCCAACGGGAGTTCCTGAATGACATGGTGCTTCTTGACTGAGACAGGTGTGTCAGCCTTGAGATGGAAGGCCGACTGCGGCGAGGCAGACTTGTAGTGCCGAGCCAGGTCTGGACTGCTGGGTTTGAAGGTTGTGGTGGGTGTGGCATTCCAATCAAATCGTCCAATCCCTTGCTCCTCCAGTTCGGTCGGCAGGCTGATGGTTCCGTTGATTGGCTCGTGGGCAGGATCATCCGGTTTGTTCCCCTCGATGGTGACAAAGTTGAGCAAGGAGCTTTTGGGGGACTTCCTTTTCTTGCGCTTTTTCTTCTTGTTCTGCTTGTTTTCGGTGTTGGGTGACATCCACTCAGCTCCCTGTTTTTTCCTCTGTGCAGCTTTGAACCTGGAAGCGTGGCGACATCGCAGCAGCACAGTCACAAAGATGACAATAATCACCACTAAGGCGCCAGTGACAAAGGCTATCATTATGGTTAGATAGTCACCACTTTGATAAGTTTCACTGCTTTCACCAATGTTTCTGTCTATCGGGGTCTCCATCGTACGTCGGATGAGATCATAAATAAGTGTTGAGTTGGCCACAGTGTCATTGACGTACAGAAAAACCAGTACAAGCGTATGGAGTGATTTAGGATATCCCAGGTCACTTATATTGACTACTAATCTGTGTAAGCCTATGTCACTTACTGCAGGTTTTTCCTCCAGGGTGATATTTCCAGTGACGGGGTCAATCCTGAACAAACCCTTGTTATTCCCACTTACAATTGTGTATTTCAGTTCTGCGTTCATTCCTGTGTCTCCGTCAACTGCAAACACCTCTGCTACCACAGATCCCGGGATGGAAGACAGGGGAACGAGTTTGAACGATGTGTTGGAGGGGGGATAGATGACAATGGGGGTGTTGTCGTTGACATCAATGACATTGATGGTCACCTTTGCAGCTGAGGAGCAAGGAGGTCTGCCGCTGTCCACAGCTCTAACGTCAAAGGTATAGGAGCTCTGTTGCTCCCTGTCAAATGAAACATTGGATTTTATCACCCCAGAGTATGGATCCAGTATAAAATTTTCATTGTCATTCCAGATAGAAAGAGAAACAGCAGCATTTTCTCCTGCATCTGAGTCTGTCACTGTAATCACCCCCACAGTGCTGTACTTAGGCAGATTCTCTGACACAAAGAACTGAAAGTGGTTATGCGTGAACTTAGGATTGTTATCATTTTCATCCAGCACAGTTACAATTACAGCCGCTTGCGTCTGCAAAGGGGGAGTCCCATTATCTCTTGCCGTTACAGTGAAGAGAAACCTATCTTGATCCTCTCTGTCGAAAACCCTGGATGCAGTTAGGACCCCAGTTTTGCGGTCCAGATCAAAGAACGATGCATTTGGTCCTAGCTGATACACTATCTCTGCATTCTTCCCACTGTCCTCGTCTGTGGCGCTTAGAGTGGTGAGGAACAGGTCCCGTTTGTTGTTTTCCATGACCGCCAGCTCAATGACTGGCTGTGTAAAAATAGGTGGGTTATCATTCTCATCCTCCAGTCTCACTCTCACCAAGGCTGTCTGATTCAAGCTTGGCTTTCCGGAGTCTGAAGCAACAATTTTAAAGTTGTATTCCTTTGTTCCTTCATAGTCAAGCAGTGCAGATGTTTCCAACAGATACTGGTTGTCATACACAGCTTTCAGGTGGAACGGTACATCCTTCTCTATGAAACAAATGACCTTGCCATTGATGTCAGTGTCTTTGTCTGACACTGTGATGAGGGCTATCTTGGTGTTGATGGGATCCTTCTCGGAGAGGAAAACAGTCCCATTTATGGGACTGATGATGTATCTCAGGTCAATATTGGGTGGATTGTCGTTGACATCAGTAACATTTATGGTGACAGTAGCTCTGGCTGGACTCGAGCTGCCATCGCTGGCTAAAACAGAGAGCTTATGAATAGCTGTCTCCTCCCTGTCTAGAGGTTTCTGCACTGTAATCAGGCCAGATGTTGTGTTTAATGCAAATAGTCTTTTTGTAGCAGGAGACACCTGAGTCCCAAACACATAATGTATTTCTGCATTTGCCCCTATGTCTGCATCTGTGGCTTGGAGCTGCACAACAGACGTGCCAGTGGCAGAGTTTTCTGGTATATGGACCTCTATCTGACTCTCTTTAAACACTGGCTTGTTGTCATTGACATCTGTGACAGTAACCTGAAGGATGGCTGTACTGGATTTCTGTGGGATGCCACCATCCTCTACTTTAATCTTCATCACATACGTATCCTTCTGCTCTCTGTCCAGATTCTGCTGCACAATGAGCTGGGGCCACTTCTCCCCCTCAGGCGTCTCCACAATGTCTAAGCCGAAGGCACTTTGCCCATTGATCAGCTCGTATTTGTGGACACTGTTGGAGCCGGTGTCTGGGTCAGTGGCAGAAGGAATAGCAAAGCGGCTGTTAATGAGGGTGTTCTCTGGGATGGAGATGTTGATCACAGGGGATGGGAACATGGGAGCATTATCATTTGTGTCTCTGACAATTATTTTGATCTTAATCAGCCTGAAATAATCATTAGGCAGGATGACGACTTCAATTTCAAAGGAGCATTCGCTGTCCTCAAACGACGGGCCGGGGCATAACTTCTCTCTGTCGATTCGGTTTGATGTTGTGGATATCTCTCCAGTGTTGCTCACCACACGCACTAGTGGGTTATCTCCCGCTTTGGAGACAAGCCGGTACACTAGATTAGCACTTGCTCCAGTGGCAGCATTTGTATGGGTAATGTTAAGGTCCTTTGGTATATTTCCAATGAGAAAATTTTCTTGCAATTCCTCCCTGATGGGGTAGATAAGTTCTTGGGCTATTGAAGGATCAAGCCATATGCAGGCAAGCAGAGCACCCAACAGGTAATAGTCTTTTAGATCCATGATAATGTTAATCTGTCTTCAGCCTTCACAGCTCAATGTTTTCTCTCTATGCAATGTTGTTACAGGCAGTCAATCCTTGCATGTGATGGCAGGAATCTTCCACAAACACACCTATGAATACATAACAAAGTTCTTAAGTGATAATACTTCAGCATGAACAGTATTTACAATTATTCCATGAAATATGAACATAAATACAATAAACGATCGATTGGCCTCATCTTGTGCAATTTATCGTTATATGTATTCACAAGTCATATTAATGTATAGATTCAAACACAAAAAATCAGCAAAGAGTAAATTCTAACACTATTTTATGCTCACCAAGAAATTTCTACCCCTGAGGCCAATCATCTTCCCAACACGTTACACAGACTTAGTCATTTGTCACTTAAATTGCCAAAATTAAAGAGCTTAAGCTGCCTGTGTGGGGCTCCTAAACGAATGAGTGCGCATGAATGAAGCCTGCAAAGTATGAGCTCTGTCAGATGTTGAATTCAGTGGGCTTCTGAGACCCATTCTTATCCTACATACCCAAATCCGATGGTGCAAAGAAGACAAAACTGGAGTGTGTCAGCTCATAGTCTTCTCATCCAGTGTCTGATGATGAATGGGAGTTTATTCTGGTGAAGGAGAGGAAAAAAGAGAGGAGCGAGATCCTTCTTCTCCGTTGATCTGCCTTTGGAAAACAAAAAATAAATAAATAAATTGGCCCCGCGTGAGTAATCAGACAGAGGAACAGGTTTGGTGGGAGAGCTGCCGAGCGCACAAACTGGGGTAAAATTCAGGCTGCATTGCTTGTGTCGCAGTTCCTTCCTCCCAGTTTAACTTCAGGACTGAACCGACTGAACGACCTGCGCGGTGATCCGGCAGACACAGCAAGGTGCTCACTGCTTTCTGTTGTTTTCCATTAGAACTGGTCCAGGAGAGGGGGGAATGAATGCACGTCCCGAGGAAACCGGCGTTTCTCTTCTTTCCCACTCGTTCCTCCTCCGTTTATCCCCGGTTACCTGTGAAGGTGAAGGTACCGCCGCGGTGAACGCAAGAGGAGACGCTCGTGTCCCGTCATGATCTAACTTCACGGAGCTCCATCAGAAATCTCCACAAGGTTAAAAAATAAAAACAAATAGATGGTGAGGATATTTATTTTTAACAGCAACAACAAAACGTCTCTGTTGATCCCTCTTGGGAAAGATGAGCCTACGTTAAAAAAAAAAACGTCCAGCGTTGGAGCGACGCTCCGAGAGTGTGTGCCGCTTATCCTCGCACTCTCACTCCCAGAGCAGAATATCTTGCACTAACTCTTTGTAAACCCATAGGAGGGGTGGTGAAGTATACCACTCCAACGCCCCCATCCTCCGCCGACCCTCGTCATTGGACACCTCCCAGTTCTTTCATTTGCGTCTCCCGCGCGAGCATCAACGGGATTGGTTGGGACTCACGTCACTCAACGAGATCCTGAGGGTCGTCGGTGGTGAGATGCTCTGTGAAGATGCTGCAGGCTGCAGAGAGACGCTAAACCAAAAGCCCGGGGCTGAAGGGGGATGATGATGATGATGATGACGATTGAGATGATGAAGGTGGTGCTGCTGTCAATACATGCTATGATTTAAATAAAAACAATGGTTATAATAAAACGATTAAAATGTGTTTTGTGCTATAAAAGCAACCATTGTCTCTGAGGGGAAGCATCAAACTTGGTAAGGCTGTTGTCCGGTAGGCTTCAACAACTGGTCATAAAACACAACATAAAAAAGCTGCTTAAAAAAATACTTTCTGAATACGCCACAGAAGTACAGTCGTGAATTCTGACTTACAATATGAAACAGATGATTACAATAAAAGCCCTGTGTGAGAGTCTCTGATAACTACTCTCTAGACAGAGAATCTGTTGTCTAAGCATCTTCGCTCGAGCAGCATATTCATGTTTGGTGCATCACACTTAGCGCCCTGCAGCCACTCGTCAGCATTTGTCCCTTAGAAATAACCTTGACAGTTATCCCAGCCATCAAAACGATTAGAGGTTACGGGTGATTTGCACTTTTTCTTTAAAGTTTACCGCCTGGTGTGTAATTAGTGAGGATCTGAGGATGCTAGAATGTGTTTGGGCCTGAATCTTCCTCGACAAGTTTCAAAAGAGCAGCAAGATGATGTATTAAACACAAAGTGAGCTATCTAGAAAACATCAGATTGAATAAAATGTAAATATGAGTAAGTGATGGATACACAGTCATTTAATATCTTCTGCCTCCTTATGGTTACTTGATTTGAGTTGTGTGTAGATAACTCAGCTGAAGCCACAGTGCTGCTGCTGAGGAAAGCGAGATGTTGATCTGAACCGCTGAGTAGGCTGTCACGGTGAACACTGCCATCTTGAGGCGGACCTTCACAAATGCCTTAATCCTGCTTTGAGCTGCAAATCTCACATAACCTCACCGTTCTGAATCCAGATTTCGGTTAAAGCTCTCCTGCACCCATGAGAGGGACCTGCATAACAGATTACACAGCGAGGGACTGCAACGTGTGAAAGGGTAGAAAACAAAAGTGAGAATAAGCACGGGTGTTGGTAAATGGGGATGGAAGTGATGCAAAAGGACACGGGAGCCACACTGCTGAGGTGAGAACTAGGCTGCAAATGTCTCCAGAGAGCGTGGCTTAGTGCCCGGTCAGCAGTCCATTAGCACAACCAACCTAGTGGCCTGACCTTTCTGCCTCTGGATTCAGCCATCAGTGTCCTTAGCTGAGAAGGAGCAGCTAAAGGAGGGATCTGTCACTTCAGCTTAAAGTCTGACACCCTGATGTAGAGAGAAAAGTGACAACATAACTGTCTGCAGCGGTGAAACACTGTCTTGCTCCGGTGGCCAGCTGGAGTCATTAGTAACTCATCACCTGCTCTTACTCTCTCGCTGGGAGTGTGAGTACATCTGTCTTGGGTTTTTCTGCATAACAAGAAATATAACCGACTAAGTAGAAATTTCCCAACCTTGCCAGGTCTCTAAGGTGTTTCTGTGTGTTAGCAGAAGGATAATTGCGCAGTAATTGGGACCGCAGAACAGAAAGCACACTTTGAACAGCAGAAATCAGCCCATCTCCTGATCACCAGCTCTATCAGAACTATACCGTCTGTGTTACAAGTTATAAAAAATCTTACCTGTTTTCTCTCTACAGGGGACTTGGGTGTCACATGACCCTTAGTCTCACAAACCAGAAGGGGCTAAAATAAGCAACTGCATAGCTCCGTCGTCTAGATTTATCCTTTCTGTACGTTGTCTTCTTACTTTGTCAGTTTGAACTGACTACAGCTAATATTTCCATAAGTCAAGTTACTGACAAGTGCTGAAAAATGTAGGATGTTAATATATGCAGCAGGTCTTGTGCTGCACCACTCACCACCTCCCATGGAAGGGAGAGCCTAAGGGAAGTGTCTGTACCTAAGGCCATATGATTCCCCACATTCCAGGCGCAGTCAATCGCACGTTTCACCTTGGTTTGATTCTCATGCTGACTTATTGACTTGTCCAAGCTGTTGAATGGGCCTCATGGATAACACAAGGAACAAATATGTTCATCTTTCATGTCCATTAAAGCACAAAGTCAAACAAGTCGTCCATGTTTTTTCTTGCTAAAACAAGGTCTCTCTGATTTTGTTTCCTTAAGCACCGTAACAAACATGACGAGCCAAAGTGTACAGAGGAGATGGAGTGGCAGAACACAGCAGGATTTGGCATCTTATTTCCTGATGTTTGAACATCACTTCTCAGATTGGAAAACAGCAATGCGACTCTACGACTGACTCTGTTTGCTCTGCGACATGGATGTTTTATCTCCACAGATAACACAAGCCTGGAGGAGCTTCTGCCGTGTTGTTGAGATACTAATGCTAATGTTTAGCTTCTTCTTGCTGAGATGTTCTTTGCTGATTACTGGACACTAAACCAACAACAGCCTTCCTCGTCATGAGACTAGATGGGTTAGTCCATGAATTTTAAGTGACAGTGTGATGTAGATCTGTCAGGCTTTGTAAATGCTAGCATTTCACCGTCTTTTTTTCTATCAGAAGCTAATGCAGGAGATAGGTGTAAGAGTCTATTTTCATGTTCAGCCTACATACAAAAAATATATAAACATTAAAAAATAGTTTCCACTTCATTAAAATAAATCACGGAGAAGACAACACATATTCAACAGATTTAAATGGGACTTTACGGAGTTTTGAATTTTTATGCTCGCGATTGCCCCCTCAGGCCAAAAGCGTAACGGCAGCTTCAATAGTAGGCTCGTGCACGAGGTGCACATGCTGTACGTGCACACTCCTTGACAAAAACAACAGCTGAGACAGTCCCTTGAGTGTGTGTGTGGCCCGGGGAACAGAGGACAGGAGAAAGCGCAGCTTATTAATTAAATAATTTGGTTCTGTACCTTTCTCTTCAGTTCAGCCGACAAAGGTTTAAGATGGGTCAGTCCTCCTGCACGCTCAGACAATTCCCTTCCCTTTCTTGAAAAATTGTTCCAAAATGAAAGTTGAACCCACATCTTTTTTATCTGTGAATGCAATGCCGTTCGGCGAGTCTCAAATAAAAATTTGGTCATCTTACTGTAAAAAATATACCATTAATGTAAAAAAGAATCTCTTCATAAATTATGTTCACATCCAGAATCAAACCCAGGTCTACTGCACAAAAGTCCAACGTTTTACTAGGCGAGCTAAAGAGCCTGTAATGTTTTTGGTATCTATAACAATTATATCCTGATGACAGCTGAAACAACGTTCAAAGAACGGTTCGGAGGGCTATGCCTGAGCGTGAACGTGCATGAAGCAGCCTGCTCGACCCGAGCAGCTGTCTTTTTCTGTGATTTTACAGAAAAACAGGCAATCACAGTCAAAATGCCAGGGCTCATTCTACAGGACCAGGGTATTGCAGGAGAATGTATGAAGAAGAAATTTATTATTTCTATACATGTTTTGGCTGTCAAACTTCCATAATGCCCCTTTAAACATGGGTAAAAGCAGCACATTGGTGAGCTGTTCAAATCCACTAAAATCAACTATCAGGAATAGGAATAGAATGATGAGACAAGAACACACAATTAAATACAATTAAAGTCCCATAGTTGTCACACACACACTGGTGTGTGTGGTGCAAATTGTCCACTTCATTTTACCCATCCCTGTGGGGAGTGGGGAGCTGCAGACACAGTTGCACTCAGGAACTATGTGGTATTTACCCCCCAATCCAACCCCTTAAAGCTGACTGTCAAGCAGGGAGGTATTGGGGCGCATTTGTAAAGACTTTGTCATGACCCGACTGGGATTTGAACTCCGATCTCCCAGTCCCAGGGTGGACACTCAAACACTAGGCCACTGAGCAGGTTTAATAAAATCAATCAATGAACCAAAATGCAAGTAAAATCAACATCTCATCTCTTGTTAAAAGCCAAGACAAAAAGATGGGTTTTCATTGTGGGTTTAAAAGCTGACATGGTGGAGGACTGCACTGACTTCCAGTTATTTAAAAAACTATAGAAATGCAGGAAAATCATTCAGACCTTTGGGATCTTCTCATGATGAAACTCTTCTAAAGGATCTTTTGGTCAGGAGAAGAAAAACTTGCAGAGAAGTCAGACAAAAGCAAAAATCTTCTCTCTGCACCAGTTAAGCTCATGGAGGTTTCCCTCGACTGAAGCTCGCTGCTGTGGAAAAACAATAATTAGAGACAGTTTCAGAGAGTTTGAACTCCTTGACTCCCAATGTTTCTTTATCCACAATGTAAGTAAAATAAAATAACAATAATAATAATAATTTAAATAAAATATTAAGAGTGATCTATGGGCTGTAATTATCCAGAACCATTGCAATATCAGAAGTGATTGAACAGCAAACTAAACAAAACAATACCATTAATACATTTTTACATTTCTTCTCCTTTTCCCACCACAGTTCCTGTAATCAGCTGACTCAGAGCAAAACATCAGTTAGGCTATTATCACTTGAGCTGAATCCTACTGCTTGTTATACTGTACCACCTGTCAGCTAGGCAAATGTGCTCTCAAAATTGGACTTGTGCAATGATTACATCTTTTGAGTTACTTCACTGATTGCCAGAATTACGTCTGTACGTACTATACCTTCTATGTTTTCAGTCAAATATATATATAAAGAATTACTTTGCATTCAAATGCTGCATTATGCATAGTTGTTCTTTGATTTGAATATATATATATATACATATATATATAGGAGTTACTTTAATAAAGTTTTTGGAAACGCACGTTTGGAATCGCAGCTGATGTTTGTTAAGAGCACGTCACGCCGGCCC